AGTGCCAATTTTAGAGTGGAAAGGGAGGAATTCTATTCCTAGGTCAAATTGTCTCATGTCTAAAAGCTAGGAAAATGATCTCCAAAGGTTGTATTCATCATATTGTTAGGGTTATGGAAGTTGAGTCCAAGGTCCCTTCTTTAGAGTCGGTCCCCGTGGTGAGTTAGTTTCCGAAAGTCTTTCCCTATGACTTGCCTCGCATTCCTCCCGAACGGGAAATAGACTTTGGCATTGATCTTTTGCCGGAAACACAACCCATATCCATCCCTCCTTATAGAATGGCTCTGGCTGGATTGAAATAGTTGAAGGAGCAACTCAAGGACATGTTAGACAAGGTATTATTAAACCAAGCATCTCTCCATGGGGTGCTCCAATATTTTTTGTAAAGAAGAAAGATGGGTTCCTTTGAATGTGTATAGTATCTTCTTTCTAGAATTGACAATTTGTTTGCTCAACTTCAACGGGATACCTATTTCTCTAAAATAGATCTTCGTTCAGGTTATCATCAACTAAGGGTAAGAGGGGTTGATATTCCCAAGATGAATTTCTGAACTAGATATGGGCATTATGAGTTCTTTGTGATGTCATTTGGTCTACCTAATACCCCGACGACTTTTATGGACCTTATGAATAGGGTTTTTTGGAATTATCTCGACATGTTCGTCATTTTGTTTATCAATGATATTTTGATCTATTCTAGAAGTGAGAGTGACCATATGAACCATTTGAGAGTGGTGTTGCAAGTTCTCAAGGATAACCAATTATATGCTAAGTTTAGTAAATGTGATTTTTGGCTAAATTCGATTGCCTTCCTCGGTCATATTATGTCTAGCAAGGGTATTGAGGTACATCTGATAAAGATAGATGCGGTCAAAGGTTGGCCTAGACCTGTAACACCTCTGATATTAGAAGCTTTCTGGGTTTAGCCGACTACTATATGATGTTTGTTGAGGGTTTCTCCTCTATTGCTTCTCCATTGACAACCTTAACCCAAAAGAAGGCCAAATTTGTGTGGTCGGATGTTTGTGAGAAATGCATCCAAGAATTGAAAGATAAACTCAACTCTGCTCTGTTTTTGACCTTACCGAAAGGTATGGGTTTGTGGTATATTGTGATGCTTCTCGAGTTGGTATAGGATGTGTCTTTATGCAATGTGGGAAAGTAATTGCCTACGCTTCATGGAAACTCAAGATACATGAGAAGACCTATCCAACTTATGATCTCGAGTTGGCGGCGGTGGTATTTGCTTTGAAAATATGGAGACACTATTTATATTGGGTGCATGTTGATGTGTTCACAGACCACCAGACTTGAGTCTCTGACAAAAAAAGTGGTTAGAACTTTTGAAAGATTATGATATAAGTGTCCTTTACCACCTCGGCAAAGCCAATGTAGTTGTGGATGCCTTAAGTCGAATGTCCATGAATAGTGTGGCTCATGTTGAAGATGAGAAGAAGGAGTTGGTTCGTGATGTTGGCCCGATTAGGTGTGCAACTAGTGGATTCCACCAAGGGTGGTGTCATGATTCATCATGGTTCCGAATCCTCATTTGTGGTTAATGTGAAGTCTAAGCAACACCTTTATCCTATATTGATGGAGTGGAAAGAATCGGTACTCAACAAGTCCGTTAAGGCTTTCTCCCAAGATGGAGATGGGGTGGTTTTGTACCAACGTAGAATATGTGGTCCGGATGTTGATGGCTTAAGAGAGAAAATTTTAGAAGAGGCTCATGGTTCACCATATTCTATTCATTCGAGAGCCACCAAGATGTACCGTGATCTACGGGAAGTTTATTGGTGAAATGGTATGAAGAGGGATATAACAGGTTTTGTAGCCAAATGTCCGAAATGCCAACAAGTTAAGGCCGAGCATCAAAGGCCTGAATGGTTGTTCCAAGATATAAATATTCCCACTTGGAAGTGGAAGGATGTAAATATGGACTTTGTTGTGGGGTTCCCTCGTACTCGAAGGCAACATGATTCTATTTGATTCATTGGTGATAGAATGACAAAGTCCGCCCACTTTATTCTCATCAAGGTTTCATATTCGGCAGAAAACTATGCCAAGTTGTACATCAATGAGATAGTGAAGTTGCATGGGTTCCCTTATCTATCATTTCAGATCGGTGTCCTCAATTTAATTCACACTTTTGGAAAGCATTCCAAAAAGGGCTTGGTACCAATGTTAAGCTTAGTACCGCTTTTCACCCTCAAATGGATGGTCAAGCGGAAAATGCCATTCAAACCATAGAGGACATGTTGAGGGAATGTATGATTGACTTCAAGGGTAGTTTCGATTGTAACACCCCGAAATGCAAAACAAGAGTCGCTTGTCGATACACCATTGCTTAATCAATACTGTATGTTTTACTCTGATTTTGGGAACTTGAAATGTTGTGATATTTGTAAACTTGCTTAACATAAATTGTGCTCATAATTTAAGGTATTGTATTGGGGTATTTGCGTAATATTCTAATTAGAATTATGTATAACTTGAAAGGGAGATGAGGTTTCTAAATATAGGTATATATGTATGCATTATGGGGAGCCAACCTTTTATTGGGCAGCCACCTATTGGAGGCAGTTGTGCATGTGATAAACATCAGTCTTGAGACTATATGTTTACACCTCCTCTATAGTGAAATCCGTGTTCCTTAGCTCTAAGAAACCTGGTGAACTCTCTCTAACCATATTACTCTCAAAATCATAAGAGAAAAACTTGGTATTTTTGGCTGGAATTCGAGATACACCCTTCTCTTTGGTGAGTAGCCGAAATCTGTTTTTGAGCTAAGTAGTGTTTAGTACTTTTGGAATATCTAGTTCTCTAGAACTCCTTTTCAGTGAATAAATATGTTTTGGAAAGCTAATTTGTATACTTACAACTCTTATGTTTATGTAAAACTCAAATTTAGTTGTTATGGATTCGAAATATGGGACGCAACATAGGACAAGTTCTATCCAGATTTCGTATTTAAAAATCCTGTATAAACAACTGTTAGTGTATCGATTCTTGATTGTTTGCAACCTTAAGAGATGTACGTACATCTTTCATGAAGGATATACAGTCCAGTTTTGCATTTTTCCTTTTCAAATCTAAGTTGCGACATGAGGTACTAGGCTGGCCAGAATTACTGTTCTGGGAGCATAGTCGTATTTGTACAAGCTAAGGTTACTTGTGATGATCATCCTGTTTTACATTAACGTTATTGAGCTACTAGGGATTAAAAAGGTTATTTATTTTTGTTTTAAGGTTGTATGTACTCTTGAACAAGTTGAGGACCTTGATAAGTTGGTTGGTCTACGGTTTAAACTCTTGAAGTTGTGGTGGACTTTTCCTAAGCTAAGCACTGAGGTTTGTGTATAAACTTGTACTTCCACTCTTTTAACTACTGGTATATCTGAAAGTTGATCTTGGTACCTTGGTTACATCTTGTCACTTTGCATTGTTGTGTTGGTATCCTTTAAGACGTTAAAGACTCTTGTGTAACTCGCCCACTTGTACGGATTGTTTGATCACTTGGCACTCTTGTTGGGACCTTGTCCTTCTTGTGGTTGTGACTTTGTCACTACTGGCATGCCTCTTGATTCAGATCATTTGCCATGTTGACTCTTGATTCTTAGTCCGTCTTAAGAATGGAAGTTGTCCATTTTAAGTACGAACTAGAAAGTCATTTTTAATATGGTTCTTAGTTCTCTTGATTATTGAGTTTTGACCCTTCTTGATACATGGCGTCGGCCCTTCATGATGCCTACTTATGCTTGGTGCGACGACATGATGTATATATTGGGTGAGCCTTGTTGTTGAATATCTTGGAAAATTGTGCTATGAGCGTTCTTGATATTTTGATCTTTAAATACAAAACATGATACTCTTTATATATTGTTTGCTTGATTTATTTATTATGTTTAATTATGTTGCCCATGACTTGAGAAAGGTACGTTGGTAAATCTGAGAGCTCCGAACCTATAATTTTTGCACCACTAAGCTATATGCTTTGTGGTAGTTGTTTCTATCGTAGGGAATGTTCATGAGGATGCATGAAGCTGGCCATTGGAGATGGAGATTTTGAGAGCCTCAAGGAAGATCACATTTGCATATAGACATCTATATTTTGTATAAACCGTGGGACTTGTACATGATCTATGTGTTGTTTATTTACATGAAATTTTGAGGACTAATTTGATCATGTAATATAAGTATGTCTATATGTTTTGTTCTTTTGGGTTGTGCAAACCCAAGTCTTGTAATATAAGAAATTTACTATTAGTTTTGAATGTTTGTGTGAAGCATGAACCGGCTGATTTCAGTACTCAGAAGTTGGTAATATTCTTGTTATCTCATCCTTAAGTGTGAGGATAATATATGCATGAGAAGCTAGTTAGTTATTTGCTTAAATTATTCTAGAAGGGTTTTTTCGTCATAAGTTAAATTCCGCGCCATGTCAATTTTAACATCAAATAAATGTTTAAATGGGAAAGATGTATATCCTTAATTAAATTATTCGTTGTGAACCTAATCCCTCTACTAGATTATAATCAATATGGCCATACTTAACCTTTTTTAAATGTCGCAAATATTTAATTAGATTTCTTGTTTAAGTGGTAGTATCCTTTCAAAAGGATCACTTCAAGTGTTGGTATCAGAGCTAAGGTTTGTGGTTCTAGTAATTTTGTTGTGAACTACTTGTTCGCTTTCAAAAAAGTCCTATTTACGGTTCTTGATCACTTACATGGTTTATTACATTTTTAATGCATGTAAATTGCACATGCATCTAGTACATGTACCTAATGCAATGTGATCTCCCCTTTTGAAGGAATTAAGTTACAGCCTCTTCTTCTTACCGACCTATGTAAGCTGCTCGTGAAGGTTCAAGTGCCTCTATTTCCCAACCTCATGCACTGGAAGGTGTTGGAGAACCTCGCTCGAACCAATATGTTCCCCACACAAGTGGGTCTGAAGTGGGAAACCATTAGGGTGAAAGAGTTGGTCCAAATCCTTACATGAGTAGTGGTACTCAAGCCATGAATCCTCCTTTTCAACAAATGGATGAATTCTTCCACCACATGGCTGAATTGATGAATGATCCCAACGGGATTAACCTTGAGAAAATGAGGAAAATGGGTGGAGTGGAGTTTGAAGGCACTGTTGATCCCACTAATGCTAAACAATGGCTGGAGCGCATCGAGAGGGTATTTGAGCAGTTGGAGTGTTCAAATGTTGCCAAATTTAAATATTCTATTTCACTATTACAAAAGGATGCTTATGATTGGTGGGTAAGTGTTTCGAATGTCAAGGTAAAACCTCCGGTTCTTACTTGGGATGATTTTCTTAAGGAATTTCGTATGAAGTATGTCCCACCTACTTATTGTGATGCAAAGAAAAAAGAGTTTTTGAATCTAAGGCAACGAGGCATGTCTATTTCGGAATACGAACATAAGTTTCTAAGGCTCTCTCGCTATGCTGGAGGTATTATTAAAGAGGAAAAAGACAAGTGCAGAAAATTTGAAGACGGTTTAAATGATTCCATTTGGAAGAATGTGTCGATCCTACAATATGAGAACTTTTGTAAGTTAGTGTCTGCTGCTTTTACTTGGGAACGACTTGATAAAGAAGAAGCTACTAGAAATGAAAACAAATTCTGAAAGCCTAGACTAGACTTTGGAGGTCTATCCAAAAGGGGAAGGTTTGTTGATTCTAAGGCTGGTAGTGATAACACGCCACCTCAACAAAGGCAAAACAGATCAGAATTTCCTACAACCAACACTCCAAATTATGGCCAAGGCAAGCCTCGTGTTCCCACTTGTCCGCAATCTGGAAAAATTCATTACGGTACTTGCAAGAGAGCTTCTAGTGCATGTTTCAATTGTGGGAGCTTTGATCATAAAGTGAAGGACTGTCCTAATCCTAATAATGCTCCTTCGTTGAAAACTAAAGGCTCAGTTCATAAGCCTTCTATTAATCCTGCTCAAACTAATAGAGGTGCAAGACCTAAAAATACCCAAGCAACAGGTGCAAGTGGAGCTAATAAAGTTACTGGACCAAGGGCTACTGTAAGCGCTTACGCTATGAGGCAGAGGGATGATCAAAATGGAGAAGACATGGTTGTCGGTAAATTTCACTTATTTGGCTTATGTGTGTTTACTTTGATTTATCCTGGTTCTACACATTCCTATATTTTTTCATCACTTGTTCTTCCTGAAAACGTGAAATCTATGAGACTTAATTATGATGTGCTGGTTTAAAGTCCTTTGGGTTATCAAGTTGTGTGTATTCAAATTTATCGTGATTGTCCCTTCGTTATTCAAAACCTAGTCTTCCCTGCTGATTTGATTGAAATGCCCATCAAGGATTTTGATGTTATTATCGGGATGGATTGGCTTTATAAAAATCATATAGTGGTAGATTGTAGGTCTAAGCATGTGAGTTTTAAAGATCCTACATTTTCACACATCATTGTACAAGGTGAAAGATCATTGACATCTAGTTTTATTTATGCGGCCTTGGCAAGAAAGTTGATGCGTCAAGGTTGTGGGGCATACCTTGCTCACATAGTTGATACACAGTTGAAGAGTCCTTGTATCATGGACATATCTGTTGTATGTGATTTCCCAGAAGTCTTCCCAGAAAACCTTCTTGGATTGCCCCCGGGAAGAGAGCTTGAATTTCCAATCGAGATTATTCTTGGATCTAACCCTATTTCTATCACTCCTATAGAATGGATCCAACAGAATTAAGAGAATTGAATTCTCAATTGCAAGAACATCTTGAGAAATGTTTTATTCTACCTAGTGTTTCTCCTTGGGGAGCCACTGTTTTATTCGTAAAGAAAAAAGATGGCACTCTTAGGCTTTGTATTGATTATAGACAATTGAACAGAATAACAATCAAGAATAAATATCCACTACCAAGGAATGATGATTTGTTTGACCAACTGAAGGGTGCTAAAGTACTCTCAAAGATAGATTTAAGGTCTGGATATCACCAACTGCCTGTTAGATAGAAAGATATTCCTAAAACTGCTTTTAGAACTCGGTATGTTCATTATGAATTTTTGGTGATGCCATTCAGATTGACAAATGCTACTGTGGTATTCATGGATCTAATGAATCGAGTATTAAAGCCTTATCTTGATCAGTTTGTAGTTGTCTTTATAGATGCTATTTTAATATTTTCCAGAAGTAGTGAAGACCATGAGAAACACCTTCAGATTGTTTTGAAAATTTTGAAGGAGAAAGAACTTTTTGCTAAACTTTCCGAGTGTAAATTTTGGCTTGATGAAGTAGCTTTTCTGGGACATGTTGTATCAACCGAAGGCATGAATATGGATCCTAGTAAGATACAAGTAGTTATTGAATAGAGACCTCCCAAAAGTCAAACTGAGGTAAGAAGTTTCTTGGGCTTAGCAGGATACTACAGAAGATCTGGGAAAGGCTTTTCCATTATCGCCTCCCCTTTGACGAATCTCTTGCATAAGGAAGTAAAGTTTATTTGGGATGACAAATGCCAAGAGAGCTTTGAAACTCTCAAATCCTTGTTGACTCAAGCGCCTATACTCACTCTACCAATTGAAGGGAAAGAGTATGTAGTATACAGTAATGCTTCTCACAATGGTCTAGGATGCGTTTTGATGCAAGAAGGGAAGGTTATTTCTTATGCCTATCCGAAATTAAAACCGCATGAATTGAATTATCCGACTCATGATCTCGAACTTGCTGCTATAGTCTTTGATTTAAAAATATGGCGGCATTATTTTGGAGAGAAATGTCATATATTTACTGATCACAAGAGCTTAAAGTACTTGGGTACTTAGAAGGACCTAAACCTAAGACAACGTAGATGGCTTGAACTCGTCAAGGATTATAACTGCACGATTGATTATCATCCAGGTAAAGCCAATTTGGTTGCAGATGCCTTAGTAAAAAATCCTTTGCAAGCATTTCTTTGAGTCCTTTAACCTTGCTGCTTGAGTTAAGAGCCATGAATGTTTGTTTCACACTTTATTCAAATGGTTCAGTTATTGCTAATTTGCAAGTAAAGCCAATATTACTTGAATAGGTGAAAGAAGCACAAAAGTTAGATGAGAAACTTGTAAAACTGACCAAAGAAGTTCAAAATGGGGAAAAGCTTGATTTTACAGTAACGGAGGATGGTGGCTTATTTTATCAAAACAGGTTATGCGTCCCTTGTGATGACAAATTTAGGAGAGAAATATTAAATGAAGCACATACTTCACCAAATGCAATGCATCATAAGGGTACAAAGATGTACCAGACCATCATAGAACATTATTGGTGGAATGGTATGAAGAGAGACGTTGCGGAGTTCATTTCCAAATGTTTGGTTTGTAAAAAAGTAAAGGCAGAACATCAAGTCCCAGTTGGTTTATTACAGCCCTTGTCGAGGCCGAAATGGAAATGGGAGAGAATAACTATGTACTTTGTTTCTGGATTTCCTCGCACTTAGAGAAATCATGATACAATATGGTTGATTGTGGACAAGCTAACCAAGAGTTCTCACTTCTTAGCAATCAGAATGGATTAATCACTTGAGAGTTTAGCCGAGTTGTACATTAATGAGATTGTAAGACTACATGGGATCCCTGTGTCTATTGTATCTGACCGAGACCTAAGGTTTACATCTAGATTTTGGGGTATCTTGCAGGATGTTTTGGGTACTAAGTTAAAATTTAGCACTTCGTTCCATCCTCAGATAGACGGCCAGTTGGAAAGAGTGATTCAAATTTTGGAGGATATGCTTCGAGCTTGCATTATGGAGTTTGAAGGTAGTTGGGGCAAACACTTGGCTTTGATAGAATATGCTTACAATAACAGTTAACAATCGAGTATTGGAATGCCTTCCTACGAGCACTTGTACGGAAGAAAATGTCAGACCCCTCTTTGTTGGAGTGAAGTTGGTGAAAGAAAGCTTGTTGGTCCTGAAATTGTGCAAGAAACAGTGGACAAGGTAAAAATTATCAAGGATCATCTAAAGAATTCTTCATAAAGACAACAGTCATACGCTGATCTTCAAAGGCATGACATTGAATATCAAGTTGGAGATAAAGTATTCTTCAAGGTGTCTCCATGGTAAAAGATTATGAGATTTGGCCAAAAAGGAAAACTTAGTCCCTGATTTATTGGACCTTATGAGATACTTGAAAGGGTTGGACTAGTTGCATATAAATTAACTTTGCCACCAGAGTTAGACAAGATCCACAATGTCTTCCATGTTTCTATGCTCAGAAGATATCGTTCTGATCCATCTCATGTTCTTCCAGTTGAATCTATTGAGGTTAATCTTGACTTGACGTATAAGAAGAACCTATTATAATCCAAGCTTGAGAAGTAAAGCAACTTAGGAACAAGAGAATCCCCTTAGTAAAGGTACTTTGGAGGAACCATTCTGGAAAAGAAGTGACCTGGGAGAGAGAAAAAGACATGAGGCCCCAGTATCTGCACTTGTCCTAGGACTAGTTTCAGGTAAATTTCGAGACGAAATTTCTTTAAGGGGGAGAGAATTGTAACACCCCAAAATGCTAAACAAGAGTCGCTTGTTGATACACCATTGCTTAATCACTACTGTATGTTTTACTCTCATTTTGCAAACTTGAAATGTTGTGATATTTGCAAACTTGCTTAACATAAATTGTATTGGGGTTTTGCGTAATATTCTAGTTAGAATTATATATAACTTGAAAGGGAGGTGAGGGTTATACATATAGGTATATATTTATGCATTTTGGGCAGCCAACCATTTTTTGGGCAGCCACCTTTTGGAGGCAGTTGTGCATGTGATAAACATCAGTCTTGAAACTATATGTTTACACCTCTTCTATAGTGAAATTCGTGTTCCTTAGCCCTAAGAAACCTGGTGAACTCTATCTAACCATAATACTCTCAAAATCATAAGAGAAAAACTTGGTCCTTTTGGCTGGAATTCGAGATACACCTTTCTCTTTGGTGAGTAATCGAAATCTGTTTTTGAGCTAAGTAGTGTTTAGTACTTTTGAAATATCTCGTTCACTAAAACTCATTATTCAGTGAATAAATATTTTTTGGAAAGATGATTCCTATACCTACAACTCTTTTCTTTATGGAAAACTCTAATTTAGCTGTTATGGATTCGAAATATGGGAAAAAACATAGGACAAGTTTTGTCCAGATTTCGGATTTTGAAATCCTGTATGAACAACTGTTATTGTATCGATGATATCTTTTTGTACAAATGTTTTTTTTGCGGTGATTCTTAATTGTTTGCAACCTTACGAGATGTACCTACATCTTTCATGAAGGATATACAGTCCTGTTTTGCCGTTTTCCTTTTCAAATCTAAGTTGCAACATGAGGAACTAGGCAGGCTAGAATTACTATTTTGGAAGCATAGTCGTATTTGTACAGGCTAAGCTTATTTGTGATGTTAATCATATTTTACATAAAAATTATTGAGCTACTAGGGATCAAATACTTTATTTAGTTTTATTTTAAAGGTTGTATGTAATCGTGAACAAGTTAAGGACCTTGATACGTTGGTTGGTCTACAGTTTGAACTCTTAAGGACCTTGGACTGATTCTAAGCTAAGCACTGAGGTTTGTGTATAAACTTGTACTTGCACTCTTTTAAGTGCTGGTATATCTGAAAGTTGATCTTGGTATCTTGGTTAACTCTTGTAACTTTGCATTGTTGTGTTGGTATCCTTTAAGACGTTAAAGACTCTTATGTAACTCGCCCACTTTTACGGATTGCTTGATCACTTGGCACTCCTATTGTGACCTTGTCCTTCTTGTGGCTGTGACTTTGTCACTATTGGCATGCCTCTTGATTTGGATCATTTGCCATCTTGACTCTTGATTTTTAGTCCGTCTTAAGAATGGAAGTTGTTCATTTTAAGTACGAACTAGAAAGCCATTTTTAATATGGTTCTTGGTTGTCTTGATTATTGGGTTTTGATCCTTCTTGATACAGGCCATCGACACTCTTGATACCTACTTGAACTTGGTGCGACGACATTATGTGTATATTGGGCGCGCCTTGTTGTTGAATATCTTGGAAAACTATGCTATGAGCGTTCTTGACATTTTGATCTTTAAATATCGAACTAGATACTCTTTCTATATTGTTTACTTGATTTATTTATTATGTTTAATTATGATGCCCATGACTTGAGAAAGGTAACTTGGTGAATCTGAGGGATCTGAACCTATAGTTTTTGCACCACTCAGCTATATGTTTAGCGATAGTTGTTTCTATCGTAGGGAATGTTCGAGAGGATGCATGAAGCTGGCCATTGGAGATGGAGATTTTGAGAGCCTTAAGGAAGATCACATTTGCATATAGGCATCTATATTTTGTATAAACCTTGGGACTTGTACATGATCTATGTGTTGTTTATTTACATGAAAATTTGAGGACTAGTTTGATCATGTCACCATGGGTTGTAATATAAGTATGTCTATATGTTTTGTTCTTTTGGGCTATGTAAACCCAAGTCTTGTAATATACGAAATTTACTATTAGTTTTGAATGTTTGTGTGAAGCATGAATTGGCTGATTTCGGTACTGGGAAGTTGGTAATATTCTTGTTATCCCATCCTTAAGTGTGAGGAAAATATATGCATGCAAAGCTCGTCAATTATTTGCTTAAATTATTTTGGGAGGGTTTTTCCATCATAAGTTAAATTTCGCGGTATGTCAATTTTAACATCAAATAAATGTTTAAATGGGCAAGATGTATATC